GTGCATCTTCTTCGTGGTCTTACTGAGAATCTGGGTGGTTTCAGGGGTTTGAGTGCAGAGAGAGGATTGGTTCTGAGTATGGTGCAATCCTAGACTGTGTGTGTGTGTAACAGTGGATACCTTTGTGGATCTGTGTGTGTGAATCGGTTTGGAAGACTGAGCTGTCTTCAATCTCATACTTCTGTTTATACATTCATATTTATTTATCTTGTGATGTTATTTTACTAACATCTATTTTGAGTTTTCATTTGTAAGCTTTCTTCGGGCAGAATCCCTACACATTTAAGTACTTAATTGTAGATTGTCATAAACTACTAACATTAATAAACTTTATTAATCATATGATTGTCTACATGGATAAAAACAAGACTTTTAGTCTACTATCATAACACTTTTTGTGTATGTGCATAATGCTTTTTGTGTGTGTGCAGTGGCGGAAGCAGTAGAAATATACAGTTAGGAGCCCCGGGTCCCGAAATTTTAGGTGATGCACTAAAAGTTATTCGTAGAAAAATGACTTTTTACTACGATTTTTTTTTGGCTACGATAAAAAGTTGTAGCAAAAGGTTTCTTTTACTACAGGGTCATTTCGCATTCGTAGTTAATGCTAGGATTTATCGTCTCAAAAAAGTATTTTCTACGACCATTCAACGTAGCAAAGTTTTTGTCACGCCCGTATATGCTACGGGGCAAATTCATAGCAAATGCGTAGAAAAACTCTTTTTACTACGAATTTAGTACATTTTACTACGATTAATTAATGGTCATAGTAAAAAACCATTTTTCTACAAGTGAATTTGTAATTGTAGTTGTACAGCAACACGTTACAAAATTAACGTCATTAATTTTTTTAAAGTTTGACCAGAAAACATAAGGTATATTTGATACTTTTCGTAATTGAGGGATGTGTATGCGACACGCCTAGTAGTAGGGATGCAAAATGATCTTTGCCTTTGACAGTATTATATTGAAGGGACAATTATCTATAGGCCCACTATGGACTTCTTATGAACAAATAGGCCCATCCAAAAAACAAATTTACGTAAAAGAACATATATGATACAACCACACAAAGTTGACTTTTTTATGTATTTCTTTTTCTGAGATTAATTTGTTTCCCTGCTGTGGACCACCGGCGCGGATTTTTTTTTCTTCTTTCTCTAGACCTTGTTATTATCAGAATTCTTAATCCATGAGTTATAGGGAGGGATTTATGTCACCACAAATAGAGACCAAACTCCAAAGCAATTGTTGGATTCAAAACAGGTGTTAAAGAATACAAATTGATATATTGTATAATCTTAACGTGTTAGACATAATATTAACTAGGGTAAATTAGACACACCCCCCTGAGGTAAGCTTAAATAACTGTAAGGTCCCTGTGGTATTGATAATTACACTTAGCCCCCTGAAACGTAGTCAGAAACTCTAATGGGATAATGAATTGGATACGTTATTCCGATAGGGTTCTAACGGACTATGGTTCAGAAAT